CTGTGATATGCAACAGATGAACATGGCTTCCCTTTTAGATAGGGATGATCTAGTTTGAACACCACTAGTGATTTGACCAATCACTTGATTAGGAGGGTGATCTCTTAACCATGTTAGCTCAGGTTGACAGGTTCTGTCAGTGGTTGTCTTGGTATCTCTGGTTGTTCATCTTCAGATTCTTCATCTTCATCTTTGTTTGACAGAAGAGGGTTGGGTGCAGGTGATGGAAACACAGGATTAACTGTGGCCTCTTCTGTTGGTTCAGATGACTTGTCTTCAAGGTTGACTTCCTTCAGGGTCTCTGTTATGTCTTCAACAGAGGTGTGATCATCAAACTTTACGTGTATTGATCCTTCAACATGTAGAGTCCTTCTATTGAGTACTCTATAGGCTTTGCTTGTGCTAGAGTAGCATATAAATACACCTTCATCAGCTTTCTCTTAAAAAATTTTAGATGCTCTTTCCCATTGTTGAGAATGTAGCATTTGCATCCAAAAATGTGAGAGTAGTTGATGTTGGGTTTCCTTCCTTTCCAAAGTTCATAAGGGGTCTTCTGGTGATTCTTGTGGATCATACTTCTGTTCTGGGTGTAGCATGCAGTGTTGATTGCTTCAGCCCAATATCTCATTGGTAATCCAACTTCAGCAATCACAGTCCTTGCATCTTCTTTAAGTGTTCTGTTCCTTTTTTCTGCTACTCCATTCTGTTGAGGTGTTCTGGCAGCAGAAAGTTGGTGAAATGTTCCATTTTGATCACAGAGGTCTTTAATCACTTTGTTCGCAAACTCAGTTCCTTTGTCACATCGAATTGTTCTGACTTTCATGTTCTTCTCAGTTTGTAGTTGCTTCAACAGAGATGGCAACTTCTGAAGTGTTTCATTCTTCTTTGCCAAGAAGATTGTCCAAATGTATCTTGAGTAGTCATCCACCATGACTAGAGTGTGTCTTTTGCCACCAACACTTAGAGTCTCGACTGATCCAAATAAATCCATACAGATGATATTTAAAGGACTAGTAGAAAGATCTTCAGCAATGGGTTTGAAAGAATTCTTCACTTGTTTTCCTTTCTGGCATGCACTGCACAAGTTCTCCTTCTTGCACACCATGTCTGGTTGTCCATCAACAATGTGTTCTCTTGCCAATTTGTTGATTGTTTTGAAGTTTAAGTGACTAAGCTTCTTGTGTCAATCCCAACTTAGTTTTGAATCTCTTTTGGCTATCAAGCAAACTCCATCTTTTGATGTGTTCCAATCAACAACATAGATATTCATTTTCCTTCTTGCTGTAAGAATCACTTCCTTGGTAACAGAAGTCCTTAGAGAATTCAACTGTGTAGCCTTTGTCACAGAACTGGCTAGCACTAAGCAAGTTGAATTTCAGACCTTTGACATATGAGATATCATCAATGATTATCTGGTCCTTGATCAGTTTCCCTTTTCCTTTTGTTTGACCTTCTTGATCTTGTCCACCAAAGGTGACTCTAGGTCTATTCTTTTTCTGGAACTCTGTTAGGCAACTTCTGTCACCTGTCATGTGCCTGGAGCATCCACTATCAATAAATCATTCTTGCTCTGGGAAGGCTCCAGCACACAGTTCCTGTAAGATCAAAATGAAGATTTAGGTACCCAAGCAATGTTTGGTCCTAGGGGGTGATGTAGTCTTGGCAGTTGGTACCACTTTGGTCTCATCAAGTGAAACCTTGGTGGGTGGTACCCATTGTCCACCTGGTAGTCGTAGTAAACAACAGTGTGATTCACTTTGGGCAGATGCTTGTGAGGTTCATGCTTTCTGTTTACATACTTTTGCATAGCCTTATTTGTTGGAAAGAAGTCCCATATGCTATCAAGAGCAGAGGGGCGGTTAGCTTTGGGCTTCTGAAGTTGACCAGACAACCTCTTCTGCCTGTAGTTAACTTTCTCTTGATATTTGCTTTTATAGTGATCATTTCTAGCATAGTTATAATGAGGGTGTCTGTTAAAGGTTTGCCTTTGATTATTATTTTTCTGAAAACTTCTTCTTTTGTGAGGGTTTTTGACTGGTTCATTGGTTTTCAAAACTTGTTTTTGTTTGGCCTTTAGTTTTTTATTTTCTGGTCTGACTCTCTCATGAATAACCTTAGTGCCAGATACACTAGCTTGGCAAATGGGGCTAGAATTCTGTGGCTCTATGACTTTATCAGCCTTAGCAACTTGAGTGCTAGCCCTTACAGAAGGCTCACCGGATATGATCAAAGACCAAAAACAGGGTTAAGCATTTGATCAATATCAACAGCCTTTATAGATGATTGCATTTTCAGAAGGCTATTGAATCTGACTTCAAAGTGCTGAATTTCTCTTATTCTATTAAGAAGAGAAAGATTTTCAGTTTCAAGTTTATCTCTCTCCTCAACTAAGAGATTGAGTTTTACCTCGATCTCTTTTCACAAGTCAGAGATTTCAACTTTTAACTTACTGTTTTCTTCTTTAACTAAACAATAAGTGGTTTGGATAGTTCTAATCTCTTCCCAAAATGATAACATCGAGTCATCATTTAAAGCTGTGCCTACCGAAGAAGAATGAGAGTTAGAGGTAGAAGATACCTCATCATCTGATTGTGCCATGAGGCATAGGTCTTCTGTTTCATCATCAAGACAACCAAAGGCTTCATCTAATTCTGAGTCAAAACTAGATTCTGTCTCAAAGAGGGGGTCCTTCTCAAATTGTTCTGTGATGAGTGCCTTTCTTCTTCTGGCATTGTCATCATATTTCTTCTCTCCATCTTGTCCTTGTTTCTTGGACACTCTTGGATGTGGACAGTTGGCTTTGAAATGTCCAGGTTGCCTGCAGTTGTAGCAGAGGAGTTCTCCACTACTTTCTGAAGACTTGGTCTTCTGGAATGGCTTTCTGCTGGAAGATGGACTTCTTCCATCTTTGGGTTTCTTCATGAACTTCTTAAACCTTCTAGCAAAAGCAGCCATGTATTCGTCAGATAATAAAATTGAAGGGTCAAAGTTATTTACCTTAGAAGTGCTGGCTGTGAGAGCTGTGGTGGTCCTATCTTCTGGCACTTCTTCTTTTTCTTCATGCATCTCGAACTCATAAACTTTGAGGTCTGAGATGAGCCTGTATGTTGGGTAAGTTTTGACATCTTTGCTTTCTTGAACTGCAACCACTTTCATCTTCCATAATGGGGGCAGTCCTCTGAGTACTTTGAGGTTGACTTCTTTGATAGTGAGCTCCTTTCCTAGCTCAGAGATCTCACCAGTGAGGATCAGAAGTCGTGCATACATATCAGCTATGCATTCATCAAGGAGGAGCTTGAAGTCATCAAACTTCTTCATGGCAATGGTCAGCTTGTTGTATCTTTCTTGTTCATCACCAGCTCTTATGAGATCAAGTTTATCCCATATTTCCTTGGCAGTTTCGCACTTCTTGATTCTGTTGAAGTATCTATTATCGATGGATTTGTAGAGAATATCTTTGGCTATGTTGTCAAGATTGTACTGCCTTCTTTCTTCTTTTGTCCATTCAGATCTGGCTTTGACAATCATCTCAGGTTGTGTGTTATCAGCAGCATGTTCAGGATTCACTTTGTAGAATTTGGTGAAAGGTCCTACGTCAAGAACTTCCCACATCTCATCATGAAGCGCACACAGGTGTGCCTTCATCCGGATCCTCCAGTCATCAAACTTAAGATCTGAAAACATAAGGTGCTTGGAAAGAGAGTTATCCATAATAGGAGTAAGTAGAGAGGCTAAAAACAAGTGGATCTTTGTTCAACAGGTAACCTAAGAGATTACAAGAACAAGGAGACTCTGATACCACTTGTTGGTCCCGATTATACAAGGAACAGTCTAGGGGGGGGGTGAATAGACTGTTCTGGTTTTTAATTTTTTCAAGCTAAGTACCAAGTTTAACAGAATAGCCTGTTCTGTTGAAGAACAGGCTGGCAACGGATGGTCTTCTGGTAGGGTTCTGTCCGGTTAGCCTCAGAAAGATGCAAAGGCAGTAGGCCTTCTATTAACTCATAAGATCAGGTTTGCTGAACACAGAGACCAAGTCTTTGGAGTTAGGTAGTTTTAAAGTAAATGCAAGTATTAAAAGTAGTAAGAAAATGACAACAGAGATTTTTATAGTGGTTCAAGGAACAACGTGTTCCTCTAATCCACTGTTCCACTAAGGTTGTAAAGAAACAATTACAACGCTTATGTCCCAGCACTTAAGAAGCTCTCCACATCTTCTTCAAGTGTAGATGTCTTCTGGAATGCACTTCCTTGCTTTCTTTAAGACTGGTCCTTTCACTGAGTTTCCTTGAAGTATACCCACTTCACTACTCCAGTTACTTTGGACACCCTTCTTGTGAAAGAAGATTGTTTGAATAGAGGTTTTCTCCAACTTGCTTCATTACAAAAGATATGTAGTTGAAATGTTTGAAATGTTGAAGAACTCAGAGGAACTTTCCTCTCTGACGCATTATGCCTCTCTCTTGCACCTCTTACATCGCGCCTCTTAGAGCATCTTCAAGGCTACAATGTGCACGGTGCACATGTGACATGAGTGATAGCCACATAAGTATTAATAAATAAATTATTTCTCTCCTTATATAAATGATTTTATACCATTTTGATAAGTTTTTCTCCACAATATCAAGAAGATCGTCTAAATGTTGACATTGTAGTTGACATTGCACAGAAAAACTTACCATAACTATATAGAATCACTCAAATAAGAAGAACGACAATTTATTTGCTAATATTTATGTGATTATCTCTCATGTCACATTCTAGTATTGAAGATGTTCTTAGGTAAAAAATGTTTCCTCCCGATAAATATCCCCCTTTAATTTTTGTTAAGGGTATAATAGGAAAGTCTAACGGCTAAAAACTTTCCTTTCATAAGAACCTTAAAATTTAACCCAAAGGAACACAAATACTCGATTAAGAACTCGAGGGAGCATAGAACACATCCGTTCTTCTCTGTGTTAGCTCAGGGAGACTAGTGGCGATTGCTAAATGTGAATTATCTGAGATGTGTGTACACTTCAAAGTTTGAGCGGACGCGCTGAACTGCGGGAGGGTGGGAAGGGGATTAGTTTCCACCGTGAGCTGCTGTAATGGGACAGTGTTCCGGTAAGACGATCCCCACCACGGGAGATGTTGATGGCGCAACCACTATTACATCGTACGCTGATCAGCCGTCCCGGAGTCCTCCGCCTTCGTCCGCCGTCGACCATGCCGGGGCCAACACTCCCTCTGTGAAGAACACGCCGGCGAGATCCTCGGCTGCGACCAGCCCCTGGCCTAGTCCTTACCCGCACGGGAGTAGTGTACCAGGGGGAGCCAGTCCCTTGCCATCTCCTGCAAGGTCCACTCCTAGGCGGTTCTTCAAGCGCCCGTTTCCACCGCCTTCTCCGGCTAAGCACATTAAAGCTTCCCTTGCAAGGAGATTTGGACATGCTAAGACGCCAAGAGAAGGCCCGATCCCAGAGGATGGTGCCTCCGAGCCCGATCAGTCTCTGGATAAGAATTTCGGATACAACAGGAACTTCGGTTACAAGTACGAATTGGGGAAAGAGGTGGGGCGGGGGCATTTCGGCCATACTTGCTACGCCCGTGGCAAGAAAGGAGAGCTCAAGGACCTTCCTCTCGCCGTCAAAATCATTTCCAAAGCAAAGGTACTGTTTTTTTTAATTACTTCTCAACTATGCATTTGATGCTTCGGAGCTCACTTACAAATGGGATGGACTAGATTTTGGAGCACCGTTATTATTCATTTCCTGCTTAATTATACTGTTTGAGTAACCCCACGTTTCATCTGTTAACGGTAAATGGAGTTGTTAGTCTGAGTTTGAACTTTGATATGTTCAGTAACTTTGTTTGTAGAGCTTTAGAGTTTAGATGGTCACGGATCTGCATTTATATTTTATTTTATATATAACTCACAATAGTCAACATTTGTCAAGTGTCAGAACACTTTAAATCATTCAATAAGGGTTGGAATGTGCAGTTTGTTCTAAAGTATCATGCGTCCTAGCTTAGAATGAGCATTGTTAGTAACTTAGTATCTGTTTATTGAGTTGGATACACATGAAGCTTCATATTTCACACATTGAATACTTATAATTCACCCCATTTATTTACCGATTTATTATTAGATTTTTTATTATCTAAAGTACCAAAGTTTCTGTTTTGTTCTCTTTAGATTTTGCAAATGTCAACTCTCCATTACTATCTGGTTAGTTATTCAATAAATAGGTTAGGTATATGTGGTTTGTTCTAAAGTATGATACAGTTTAGATAGAGTTGATTATTCATACCTTCTGTTTCTTAAGTTATGCACTTATGCATATGAAGCCTGCAGCTGTTAGGATTTGGTTAATTAGTTAGTATTCCAGAGAAACTGCTAGAAATAAATCAGCCTATAGATTAAGAACTCAGGGAAATCCTGTTCCCTCAATCACGGAAATGAAAGATAAGCATTTGGACATGCTATTTTCCTTCTTTCTTTTGTCTGATTTGAATAAGATTGTTGAAACACGGAATGATATGTGGAACTTTCACATTTGTTCTCCTTTAATAGATCTTTTTGGGCCATTTATGAGACACGCACACACTGTTTTCATCAATTATAATCTATATCATTCTTTGTAGATATGTGACAATAAACCATATGGGGTAATGGAATATGATCCGATGGTGAGTATTGAAGAAGCTCTGAGCCTTTCCATCCCAACTGTGCAAATAAATTGCCCCCTACCTGCAAAGATGTAAATAGTTCTAGGTGCCAGGTAGAGAGGATCTAAATGGATTTAGATGGTGCTCAAATAGGAAAAGTCACAGACAACCAAGGATTGTCTGGTGCCCTGCCAAGACAGAGAAAAATTGCCATGTCCTTACACCTCTTATAGCTTTAGTGTGACATCGAATAGGCATTGACACCAAGCACGATTATAAATGGTATAAGTTATTTATTATTATATCCAGAACTTTGAATTTTTATACAATACAGTTCTAGTTAAAAGCGGGATCTAGTTGTAGTTTTGCACTACGAGATGTTTGCAATATAATTTTGTGAAACCCCTGCAGGTCTTACTATTGTGGAAAAGGAGGATAGAATGCAAATTTTTAGGACAAATGCAAAATGCAAAAAATCATTATGGTAGTGCAAAGTGAAACCATCAGCTACTTTGAAATTTGTTAGGAAAGCGGTGCATTGAATTTACTAAGAATTGGCAATCAATGTTATTAAGACTACCATATGTATCTTTCCGGTCAAGTTTAGTTTTCAATTCATTCTTTCATCTTCAGAAGCTTGCAATACCCCCCCTCAAGATGAGCATGGATATCTAATAGGTTCATCTTGACTGTGAATTCTTCAAAGAGTGGATTTCCCAAAGCTTTAGTGTAAATATCTGCAAGTTGAAAAACATTTTTAATTAAAACAAGATCTATTAAACCAGTTGTTATTTTTCTCTAATTAAATGATAATCTAGTTCAATGTGTTTAGTTCTTTGATGTTGAACTGGATTATCGGCTAAATGAAAAGTGAACTGGAGGTAAATATCCTGTTGGAGGTTGCATATATATAGTTTCTAACAAATCTCCATGTAAAAAGGCATTGTTAATATCTAGTTTTTGTAAAAATCAATGTTTTGTAGTGGCAATAGCAAGAAGTAATCTAACAGTTGTTAATTTATAACAGGAGAGAAAGTGTCAAAATAATCTAAAGCTTCTTCTTGAATGTAACCTTTTGAAACTAATCTAGCTTTATATCTTTCAAGAGTTCCATCAGATTTTAGCGTAGTTTTAAAAATCCATTTACATCCTACTGTATGGTGATTAAGTGGTAAATTAACAAGAATCCAAGTATTATTATCTTCAAGAGCTTTATTATTAGTTTTCATAGCTTCATGCCATTCTGAAAATATTATAGTTCTCCTCTCTCTCTCTCTCTCTCTCTGTCTGTCTCTCTCTCTCTTTTCTTTTTTCTTCTTTATCTTTCTATGTTCTTATGTTACTTTTATCTTTTATCATTCTTATGTCCTTTTTATCTTATATTTATCTTTATCTTATCCATTTTAGCTTTACCTTATCTTTTTATTTTTCTTATCTTTATTTTCTTTTTGGCTCTAGTATCATGGATCGATTCATATTAGTCGACCCCAAATTCTTGTGGGAATAAGGCTTGGATGTTGTTGTTTATATGTTTTTTGTTCTTTGATTTTAGTAACATTTGCAGTAAAACATTTATAGCTGTAAGTCTACTATCAGTAAGATGATGATGAGGGATATCTAATGAAATTTCATGAAGGTTTGTAATTAAAATTTAAAGAATCAGGAAGATTATATTGATAATCTTGAAGATAACTAGGTACAGGTCTTACTTTAGAAGATTTTCTTTGAGTAGTATGTTTAGGAGAAATAGAAATGCTATTATCCTGAAAAGAACCAGAGAAAATCTTAGATATGTTATTGGAGGTACTAGATAAATCAGAAGTAGCAGTAGGCATGTCATGATCAGGAAAATTAAAAATGTTAACTTCATCATTAATTTGATTATCTAGAAACGGTCTCTATGTGCTTTAGTACAAAAGTAAGGCTGCGTACATCCGACCCCTCCTTACCCCACCGTTGGTGGGAGCCTTTGTGGCACTGGGGTAATGATGATGATGGATGTCTTTCTTCTTCAATGTAAAACTTACACAGAACAAACAGCGAACCTTTACTCAAGTAAAATAGTTAGCTTAATATAGTGATGAAACCAATATAATTAAAACAACACTAAAGTTTATATCACACATTAAAACTAGTTTTGAAAATGATAAGAAATCAATAAACATGTAATGTTGAGGCTTTATAACACACAAGGTCAAGGGTTTGGATCCTTCTCCTTGCAAAAAGAAAGGACATGTTTCTGAGATCATGCCCTTCCTCTGCCCCCCATTGTGTACCATTGGCATGGAGTATCCTTTTTTGAAATAAAATGAGATTGAGGGAGCAGTACAGATCTAAGAAAGTTAGGTTAATATCATAATATGTAATATTGCTTTGATACAAATTAAATTTGTAGCCACCTAACTTTTGCACCTAAAAGACCATTTAGATGATTATATTGCCATTGAACTGGTTTAAATTTGCAGTTTGTTATTCCAGACGTGCATTACATCAATGTGTTCAATAGCAACTAACTTGTATTTGCTAAAACGTGCTCTCTTTGTCTCTTGGGCTAGCTCCCTTGACCATGATTCACATCGCCATTGGCATGGGAGGGGGGGGGGGGGGGGTTAGGAAAGAGATTTGGATTTTTGTGAGTATCTACTTCATAGATTTCATGAGACAGACCGCAGAATGTTCTCACCTAGAAGACTGTAATATGTTGTCTGTATAAAGTATCAGTATTTTAAGTCATTTGAGATTTCTTAATCTTTACCAACTATAGGGGAATCTTTCCTTCTGGTATGGAATTAAAACATCTAAAAAACAGATTGTGATGGCTATAAAAAAAAACAGATTGTGATGGTAAGTATGAATTTCAATCTTTGTCATGATCTTGTTGTGGAAGGCACACAGACTGAAATTGTTTTTCTGAGCATTATTTTGTAATGGAAGACATATACGATTCATATAATGATGAAATACCAGACTATTACCGGATCGGTTATTCAGCCCATCTCTTCTTCACTTAGCTCTTTGATAGTGTTCTTGCTATAGTATTTTTATATTGAGAGTTATGTATTACAAAATCGTATTAACTAGCTTCATTTCCCATCTTAAGCTCTTAACATCTATTTTCGTTAGCATAATTTCATCACAATTTGTTTCACAGATGACAACAGCAATATCTATTGAAGATGTTCGTAGAGAAGTAAGGATTTTAAAATCTCTCTCAGGTCATAGACATCTCGTCAGATTTTATGATGCCTGTGAGGATGCCAATAATGTTTACATTGTCATGGAGTATGTACTTCATTTCCCCTCTCTATTATCCATGAACTGTTCCTGTTCTGCTCACATTGATATTGCTTGTACTTCGCAAACCTCTCATATGATTTGGTTGCGTGTGTGCTCTATTTCCACTCGGTTGCAGTGTAAATTGTAAATGGAGAGTATGATGCTTTCCTTTGATTTCGTTTAACTAATTTGTGTGTGTAGAATGTTTTGTGATATACACATCATAAAAATATATAATTATCTGCTCCGCACATTCCTAATATCTATCTTGATTAACAATTTTTTTATTCCTTTTATGAAAATTATCCACATAAAGTAATTTTTTGACTAATTTATCACTGCAGTGCATTTTCTTAAAATGTGTGTTTTGGTTTATGAAGACAAAGACAACAACATCCAACCTTTAATCCCAAAAGAGTTTGGGGGTATGTGAAGATAGAAACAGACACTTAGATAGAATGATATATAGAAACAAAGGAAGTATATGATTTGGTAGCATATGCTTCATCATATCCAGTGCACACATATAATCCTTTTTATTGATATTCATTTTCTCGTGATTAGGTAGTATGCAGAATTTGCTCATCAGTTTTTTCTTTTGCATGTCACAGGTTATGTGAAGGAGGAGAATTACTTGACAGAATATTGTCGCGGTAAATGAAATGCGTTTGGATATGTTTCATGTGATAATTTGCATAATATTTTTTGGAGGTAAGGGTTAGATTGGTACTCGAAGTTGCATAAAATGGGTCAAATAAGTCCTTATATAGGAGGCTCTGCTGGCCGTCGTAATTTGGGGCGGTTCCCGGTGGAATTTTTTGACGAAATTTTTTGAGCATCTTATTCATTACGTCTAGTTCACTCATACCAAATTTCAGCTAAAAATTCAACCGGGAAGGCATTCAAATGAATTCTTGAAGATAACTGCGCAGTTGAAAACCTAGTTATCTTCAAGAATTCATTTGAATGCCTTCCCGATTGAAGTTTTAGCTGAAATTTGGTATGAGTAAATTAGACTTAATGAATAAGATGCTCAAATAAATTCATCAAAAAATTCCACCGGGAACCGCCTCAAATGGCGACGGTCGGACATTAAGGACTTATTTGACCCTTTTTATGCAACTTCGAGTACCAATCTGACCCTTACCTCATATTTTTTGAATAAAAAGTGTTCACTTTTCCCTTACAGGGGTGGTAGATACCCGGAAGATGATGCAAAGCTTATTGTTGTACAAATTCTGAGTGTAGTTGCATTCTGTCATCTACAAGGAGTTGTTCACCGCGACTTGAAGCCTGAGGTTGTTTACATGTAATATTAGTTTCAATTTTTTTACCAGAATGTACCAAATTTCACTCTCTGGGTACCATGTGTTACTAATGATCTTCAATTGGTTCTATTGCAGAACTTTTTGTTCACGTCTAGAAATGAAGATGCTGATATGAAGCTAATTGATTTTGGTCTTTCTGACTTCATTAGACCAGGTAGCGGCATGTATGCACTACACGACAATATATTTATTGTCACTAAAATCAGTCATTTACCATTGTCCATTAACACATTTCCTATTACAAATATTGTATGCTGTACTTCTACTGTGATTTAATTCTTTGTGAAGGTATTACTAGAGACTTCACTCTTTTTGTCTTTCCCCATTTTTGTTTGATATCTATGAAGTAATATTTACTCAGGAAAAACGATTGTGCAGACTGATTCAAAATTTTCAGTTTTTTTGGCAATTGTAGCCACACCTTTGTATTTCAACGCTGTTCAGAATCTTGTACTCCCTCCGTCCCATAAAATTGTTCCCGCATTGACTTGGATCAGAGTTTAAGAAAGTGGGAATAAAGTGGAAATGCATGGTTGTGATTGTGTAAGAAAAAGGTAAATGAATGTGAGCCACACAAAAGTTTCCAAAAGGAGAAATGAGAACTATTTTTTGGGACGGCCCAAAAAGGAAACTGGGAACTATTTTGCGGGATGGAGGGAGTATTCCTTTTGCTTAAGGGCCCGTTTGGTATGATGCAAAGTAATCACTTTGCATGCGAAGTGTGGGGAAGTAAACATTTTACACCGTTTGTTTTAATTATTTGATGTAAACTGTAGGACACTTTTTTAAAAACATTTTACACTGTACCATGTAAATTATTTTACATGGGGGGAGGGTGGTAAACTGTTTTACACTCTAAATACAGATTATAAAATACATCAGACTCCATCTTTCTACGATCGGCGGCAAAAAAAAGTGGGCTTCACAGTTTTAATCACTTTCCTCTCGTATCTAGGATGAGAGAATCGCAAATATATACGTATTGGAGCAAAAAAAAAATGTTGGCCTCTCGTTTCATGATTTCATGATTTCATCGTTGCCAGTTGGCTGCTTTCAAACCCAATGATAATGTTTGATATGATAGATTAAGTTCCATCTACGTGTGAATATGTTGTTTGAGTTAAAAGAATGCATTTATTTTGCATCTACTTTTAAAATTTATCACAATACTTTTCCAAACAATGTATTTTAATTTTACATGTAAAATGATTGTATCCCTACACTTTACATGCAAAGAACCAAACGCCCCCTAAGTTTGACGGCATAAGAATGTTTAGCTACTTTTTGCATGAATTTTAATTTGTTTTCTCCTTGCATTTTGGAATTTTGTAGATGAAAGACTTAATGATATTGTTGGAAGTGCATATTATGTGGCGCCAGAAGTGCTCCACAGATCGTACAGTTTGGATGCAGATATATGGAGCATTGGAGTGATAACTTATATTCTGTTATGTGGAAGCAGACCATTCTGGGCAAGGACAGAATCTGGAATATTCCGTGCAGTCCTACGAGCAGATCCCAACTTTGAAGATTTGCCATGGCCTTCTGTCTCCCAAGAAGCCAAGGACTTTGTTAAAAGGCTTCTTAACAAGGATTATAGGAAAAGAATGACTGCTGCTCAAGCTTTGAGTAAGTCAACATTAGCTCATGTAGTGTGATTTTCTTTATACTTTGTCTTATTGTCAGATTTTTGCTATTGCATTAAAGGTCCATTAATGTTAAAATGGTTTTACTCGTGTAAATTCCCTAGATCAAAGTTAAGAATATGGTAACTCCTTAAGAAGCAGGAGGAAATGTGAAGTCTTAACTAGCAAACTCTAAAAAAACGGTAGCTGGTGCACGAAGGCATCCCCGCAAAGCGAGGGTCCGGGGATGGGTCCTACCACAAGGGTGTATAAGGAGCAAGCCTTCCCCTGTCAAATTTTGACAAGAGACCGCTCCCATGACTTGAACCTGTGACCTCTCAGCCACACAACAACACCTTAACCGGTGCACCAAGGTCTCTTTCAAATTAATATGCAATAACTAAAATTAGAGTTTGCTAGTTAGAAGTCTTAACTAGCAAACTCTAACTTTACTTATTGCATACTCCCTCTGCCCCATTTTGTAAGATACACTTTCCTTATTGGGTTGTCCCAAAAATATGATCACTTTCCTAAAGTAAACCCCACTAACTTTTACTTTCCCACTTTATCCCTTTATTATCATATCACCTTTTACATTTTGTGGACCCATCCTACTTTTTCTTATTTTTTGAGGTTAGAATGGTAAAATCACAACCGTTCTCCTTTATTTTCTTAAAATTTGTGCCAAACCCAAGTATATCATACATTATGGGATGGAGGTAGTATTACTTATATAGCAGACTAGCAGTGGTTTATTCCCACAGGGCTACAGGAGGAAGTCACTAGATTATATAAATGATGTTGTGTGTTCTTTTACAATTTCAAAATTGCAGTGCATCCGTGGCTGCGGAGTGAAAGCCATCCTATTCCTCTAGATATATTGGTCTATAAATTGGTCAAGAGCTATCTAAATGCCACCCCTCTCAAACGTGCAGCATTAAAGGTACGGTGCATATATGTATATGCATTTTTTTCCCATTTCAATTTCACAGCTTTGAAATGGCATAGGGGAGCACTACTTGTTTGGTACCCTCTTTAGCAGTTTTTTGTAAAAAGAGTATTCACATTGTTTTATTTTGATCTTGATATTAAATTCTCAAGTGCTAGTTCATGAGGTATTTTTTCAAAAGTGCAAGGGCCTTATACAGAAAAGTAAAGGGGCCCTGAGTACCACTAATCCTAGAAAGAAAGTGTTAATCCTTACCAAATAGAAATATTTGGTTTACTACGACAATTTTCTCAACACTCTCAACCTGCATTTCCTAAAATTTTTCATCCCCAATAAAAATTTGAAAAACAGAAACTGAACTGGCTTGCTTAGAGCACACAGAACTATTCACTCATATATTCCAATTGGATATTTTTGCCAAATTTCTTAGCAGAAAGTTGAAAAATGGAGGATCCTCTTGAACTTCCCATTTGGAGAAAATTTGAACTTCAACACAAATTCCATATTCCATTTCACTGAATAAAGAAAAATGATCAATTTTGCTGAACAGCCATTAAAATATGCGCCCTTGTATAGCCTCTATATCCTTTATCCGATTTTTCATCTTGACCTAAATTATGTACATTTGTACAATGATTCAGAAAGTTCTTAAAGCGTGAACTATTTGTCTATTGAGAATTGTAAATATTGAGATAATTGTAGTATGTTTCGTTTCCTTGTTTAGAGAAGAGAACCGGAGCAACTCTGAATAATTACGAGTATATTACTAGGTGTGATTTGTGTTAATATGTGTTCATGGTTTCAGGCTCTATCGAGGGCATTAACAGATGATGAACTTGTTTACCTGAGGGCACAGTTTATGCTGTTGGAACCTAATAAAGAAGGGTGTATCTCTGTTGAAAACTTCAGAATAGTAAGTGGTACCAGAGTTGGTTTACCTCAAGGAACCAATATTCTCCCCTCCCCAACTGACGCAATCATTTGTGAAATCTTTCATGTTTAATTTTGCTTTCATTTTGAAGATGCAAATGTTTTTTTTTGTAATGAAATTAATGGCAGGCTCTTTCGAGAAATGCTACTGACGCTATGAAAGAGTCAAGAGTCCCAGAGATTCTGAATACGGTACGATGTTTGTCTTCTTTCATATCCACTGAATTGGGTTTTCTAGCTATTAGTGGTTTGCCTGTGAAGAAGGGGAGTCTTGGCATACCGATTAAGGTGTTTCTGAGTGACCGAAAGGTCACGGGTTCAAGTCTTAGGAGAGGCCTATTGTAAAAAATTTGACAGGAGAAGGCTTTCCCCTTGTACACCCTTGTGGGTGGGACCCTTTCTTGGAATCTCGCCTTGCAGGGATGCCTTCGTGCATCGGGATACCCTTTTAGTGGTCTGCCTGTTAAGCATGAATGCTATTAAATGATTTTGAAGGCTTTTGGAATCAAGTTGCAAGCTGGACATAGTACAACTTAGGACTGAACTGACATGAGCAATTTCACCAAAAAAATCGATCCTGAATTCTAGGGTTGGGTTCGGTTTGGGTCCCAAACTGATACAGTCCAACACTCCAACTTAGGACTGAAATGACATATCGGTTACCCAAAATGTTAGTGGAACGGGTACCAATTTTTTGGTAACCGATTTTCCGGTTGGTTAGCTCAAAAACTTATAAACCGAATGTCTATAAAAATTAAATGTATTAATAAGTAATACTCATCGCTCCAATGCTGAAGCAATACCAGTCTGAGCTGTCTAAGCCCATAACCTTATCACACCAAGCCTGACCAGTAAGATTTTCAAGCCCAACCAGTGATTATGGTAGTTTGGTATGTAAACTGCAAGAATATTGAATGCCTTTGAAGGCTTATATAGAAAAAGCTTGAAGGAGCACCTCTCTTCATCCAGTGTGGGATAACGTATTTATAAACCACTATTGGAAAAAAATGCCCTGGGAATCGAACCCGAGACGTTAAAGAAAACATACGCGCTCCGGTTTCATCTCACCCACATGGCTGTTGCATATAATTTGAAGTTCAAACCTCTCATATATTATCTCTACAGTTTTTATTTAATACTGACACTGTTAAAAGTTTATTCTATAGTGTGATAAACTACTCCGTACTATAATAATGATAACTAATAATTATTCTCAATATTATTATTAAATTAAAATTTCAGTTCGGTTCAGCTCAAACCGATTTTTTGAGTACGTGAACCAAATTCAAATCATGCTTTTTGCGGGTCCCAATTTTCAGGTCCCAAATCACAGTTGGGGTTTTTCGGTTCGGTTTCCGGTCCAAAATACTAGCCCTACTAAATTCTACAAACATCTCATTTAGCCCTTAAACTAATTAAACTGACCCATTAATGATCCTCTATATATCATGTACTACATATTATTTAGCTGTATATCTGGTTATAATTCCTTTGGTTACAACCTTCTTCATGCACCTAATCTCGTTGTGGCACCTGGACGTAGGAATTTGTATAATGTTGATTAGGAAAATTTTGAAATTTCTATTAATGAATTACTTTATATAGTAAGATAGTTTAGGAGCTAAATGGGATATTAGAAGAGATCACAGCCAGTCGAGATTTCATAGTCATTTTCGAGTATTTGCCCTAATTTTCGAACATCATCCTGTTTTTGTAAATTAAATGGAAGTCATATTAACATGCACAGCTGCCCTGCTTCGCTTGCATTGACTTGGATTAAGATTCATTTGATTAAACACTACATCTGGGTTCAACATGATTGGTTACTTTCTGGGCCAAGGAAGGTTTAGTCCATGGGTACTCCTAGGACATGAATATTGCATTCCCTCCAATCCTGCCTTTGCTTGTCAAACGTTAACAATGTCAAAAAAAGTCTGTTACGGGTGTTGTTGGGAGACGAAAAGAAGAACTATAAGTATGGTAGTTGGAAAAACAACACAGCTTCCCGGCCTAGGCAGGGAAGTGTCTGCCGGTTCCATCGAGCGCACCAGAAGAATTATTTCTCCAGAAGATTGATTATCTTATTCATTAATATGGCACCTCTCTTTATAGTAATCCCAAGAGTCTTGGTGGTCTAGTGTTTAAGTAACCCTAAGTCTATTAAAATACTTTTATTCGGAAATTAACTAAAATAGAATGTCTCTATTAATAGGAAACTGAAACTAATAATAACCTTAGGGAACTAACGCTAATACTTTAGAAAACTTACTTTAGGAAATCAATTATTAATAATAATGAATAATAATAATGATAGTAATAATGGGCTTCTTCTTTCCATATCATTACTCCCCTCTTGAACATCATGCTTGTCCTCAAGCTTGAAGCTAATAACCCATGACAACCGATCTTTCCACGATCAAATGGCATTATTATATAATCAATCATCACCATGTTGGTTGTAGCCGCATGACTATGAGTAATGACCCAATTTCCTAAAATCTGGCCAGATTCATCAAAATCTCCTCTTGGTAGAAAGGTCCATATTATTTCTTGCAACTTGGTTGTGGGCAGTAAATGTGCAGGAGGGATGAATTTGCCAACACTGGTGGTGTTAGCTCCACGGGTGACAAGAGTTAACAGTGATAGATTGACTTTTTGCAACCAAACTTGCGGTGTTGGCAGTGACAAAACTAGCGGCTGTGTGGATAACAATAACTGCTTATCCAACAACAGTTGTGGGAACAGTGGAGATGTTGACGACCAGAAATTTTTGACATTTTGGTGGATGAGCTTCTAGCAATGTCACCATCGGGGCTGTTGTTTCCGGAGATAGACAATCATATTGTGAGTCTTCACTCAATAGCTTTTGCCAAACTGATTGCCGGAATGTCATGTTGAAGTCTTGCTGCAAAGTTCACTTGAGTCTGTGAAGGTAAGCCTTTTGTGCGTGCCAATAAACACTGAAACTCGCTAATATACTCATCTAGCGTAGCTATTTTCCGAAGTTGGGATAATTCATCTTCCGGTGATGGAACCTCGTAATGTATCCTCATAGAACAAGAATTGTCGTGAATATTTTTGTCCTCATAGAAATCCAGTTTTGAAGCAATTGAACTGATTTGTCCGTGAAGACACAATATAAATCGTACTCATCAGCGGGACAACATAAATTTAAAACTTAGACACGTCAAATCCGAGAGCTCATTTTTTATTTTTCTGATTTTCTTCTTTTCCGGATTTTTTTTCATTTTCTCTTTAAGAGAAATAATAGTGCAGAAATTTTGTAAAAGAAAAGCTAATACCCAACCTTACGTAAGGTGGGAGGAGTACTTCAACTTTTAAGTCTCTGCGCTAGTGCGCTACCGTTGTTTTTTTTGAAGAAAGAAATAACAAACATAACTTTAGAGAAAATTAGCGGGTGTTTGTGGCGTGATGGCTCCTGGAAATTTGCTCTCTGGAAGGAAGGCAACAGATTGCTAAAACATCACATGATCTTCAACCGCACAGGATTTTGTTTCATTCTTCTCCAGACGCTAGATTGGAGTTCACCCCCTTTTTTATAAAAAAGAAAAAAAGCAAACAGGAAGGAGATGCCTCTGATATCAAATTGTTACGGGCGTTGTTGGGAGATGAAAAGAAGAAGAACGATAAGTATGATCGTTGGAAAAACAACACAGCTTCCCACCTTAGGAAATGAAGTATTCATTGGTTCCACCGAGCGCACAACAAGAATTATTTAACCAGAAGATTGATGATCTTATACATTAATATGACTACATATGATCTTATAGACTTATACTAATCCCAAGAGTCTTGGTGGTCTAGTATTAGAGTAACCATAATTCTATTACAATACTTTTATTAGGAAATTAATTAAAATAGAATATCGCTATTAATAGGAAACTGCAAGTAAGAATAATCTTAGGAATCTAACACTAATACTTTAAGAAACTCACATTAGGAAACTAGTAATAATAATGAATAATAATAATATTGATAATAATGGGCTTCTTCTTTCCATATCAGTCATGTTTATTCAAGGTATACATATCTTATACATTTTTTTTTTCTCGCAAAATTATCATAATTGTACAATTTTAAGAAATAAACTTTGCCGTCTTTGAATTTTGGTCAATTGTGTTCAACTTTGGCCAATTATTATATATTTCTACAGGAAATTTTTTATGATATAAAAATGAAAATGTTCTTTATTAAAAGTACTTTCATAAAAGTATAAAATTTGTAACTTTCATAATTTTATACTAATCAAAATTATGGTCCAAACTTTATCAACATTAACTTGAAAAGTCAAAGATGACAAAGTTTTAAGGGAAGAAGGTAGTATATGTTTTCAAATATAATTGTTTGGGTAATATAACAAAACATCGGTAATGATTATGAGTAGCTTCGTTTGTTTAAATAGAACTTCATTATGACAAAACATAATAGGGCTGACTCGTTGTTTGGGGACGGTATACCAATTAATGGTGCAATGGTCACCTTTGAGGTGCAAGTCAATACCTAGGTTGGGGCTCAGTCCCGACCATGCTGGTTAGGTTGGATCATGAGGTGCAAGTCAATACTCTATGAATTGTAATTTATCAAACCAAACTAAACCAAGCACCCCAAGTCCTGCTCGGAAGGCTATAAGTTATGATTGATAAATACAAATATCGCACCCACCCACACACCAATAAATGCATCATGCATGTATGTAGTGGCCACTCTTTCTGATGACCTAAAAGAAGAATTATATATATTGGGGCCATGACTTTTTGAAGTCGCTCATGCATAGACTTTATACAGATGGCACCACTATCATATAGAAAGATGGACTTTGAGGAGTTCTGTGCAGCTGCCATCAGCACTTACCAGCTTGAAGCCCTCGACAGCTGGGAGCAAATCGCATCAACCGCTTTTGAGATTTTTGAACGGGACGGAAACCGTGTGATTTCTGTAGAGGAATTGGCTAGGGTATTATTTCTTTCTCTTTCTCCCCCAGCACGCACTTATGTGGTTCTCTTCCCCTGATGAGCAGCAGCTCAATTTTGTATGATGCAGGAGTTGAATGTGGGTCCCACTGCCCACACAATCCTGAGAGATTGGATAAGGAATGATGGGAAACTCGGTCTGCTTGGGTACACTAAATTTTTGCATGGTGTCACATTTCGCAGTGCAAATGCAAGACATCATTAGGAGGGAGGGGGTGATTTGGTGTATTCAACCTGAAATAGATTTTCTTAGTTTTTCATACACATTCATGTTCTTCTAATTACATGCATTTTTTTTGAATTACCCTTTTCCGTGTGGATTAGGGAGGGAAAAGAACTTGTGTAAAAAGAATGAATATATAGAGGAGAGTAGAGTGGGGAGCGAGTTAAATAGGAAGATTGTTTCGGGCGGGTTGGGGGCAAAAATTCGTTGTCCGTCCAATTCCGTTGAGACGGCTTGCTTACTTTGGCTCTTGGCTGAACAGCAGGTGGTTTGATTACAGCTTCTACATGCTCTCTATATCAACTGCACCAATACACCCATTCCATCTTTTCCGTGACCGAAGCCTATTCAGACCACCCAGACCAATATTCTCTCAAGTCTCAATACATCTAAATATTCATCTCAATACAAAAATAATGTAATACAAATATAATGTATTTATGGCACATATTGTTCCATTAGGTCTCATAAATTAAATTATGAGATATGCATAAAGTCCGGTTTTGTTCCCGGACCAGCTGGTTCTAAAAAAGGAAAATGAAAATTAATAATTCAACCTTTTAGCAGTCTTCTTACAACAGTCCCACCTTTTCGTAATTCAAGAATGAATCAACCTTTGCATCTCATCTTCATTCGTTGGTTTCTGACCGGTTTCTGATCTGCTATTCCAAATTATTTTCTTATCTTTGCAAACAATTATACCATAAATCTCACCTTTCACAAAAATAATATTTTGCAAAGATAAGAAAATAACTTGGAATAGCAGGTCATCAACCGGTTAGGGACTAGTGAATGAAGATGAGGTGCAAAGGTTGGATTATCATGAATAACGAAAAGGTGGGACTATTGTAAGAAGACTGTTAAAAAGTTGGATTATTAGTTGGGAATTTTTCACAACTGGACTATTGGTAATTTCAGTTTTTTCATTTTTGAAAGTTTTTTCAAATATAAACAAGTTGAAGTTTCCTTTTCAATTAGAGACCCTACGGGTAGTGGTGGACCCGGTTCGGGCCGCCCGGCCCGGGACCGGCCCGTTACTGTACGGGCCCGGAACCGGCCCGGTTCTCGGGTCCGGGTCCGGTTCGGGCACCGAACCGGTGGGGGTGGCGGGTCCGGGCTCGGGTGTTGGTTTTGGTGGCCCGGGCCTAACGGTCCTATTTTTTTTTAAAAAAAAATTCTTCTAATTTTAAACATTTTTTCACACCTCTTCTCCAACTCTACCTAAATCCTACTCTCTACTCATCAGTCCAATTCTCCATATTCATCTTCTCAAATTCTCTTATTCTCCTTTATATTTTATTTTACTATTTATACAATTATTATATCTACTTATATATTAATTATCTACTTATAAATACATATACTATATTACTTATATTTCTTATCTACTTAATCTCTACTTATATCTCTTAATACATACATACATACTACATCTACTTAATATATACTTTATATAATAAAGTATTAAATATACTTTATAAACTATTACTATATACTTAATACATAATAATATCTATTTCTCTACTTATATTTTATATATACTTATTTTCTTATTTTCCAATCTCCAATTCTCCATTATACTCTAATATTTAATTCTTATACAATTATTATATCCACTTAATACATACATTCTACATCTACTTAATATATACTTTATATATTAAAGTATAAAATATAAGTGTATTACTCATCTTATAGTAGTATACTTATATATTATATATTTTTTTTTTTTTTTTTTTTTTTTTTTTTTTAACCCAGTGGCAAACCATCACAAGATGGGGTAAGGGCTGGGGAACACCTTACCATTTATTAAGGCTTAGAGGGAGCTAGAGACACGGTAGGAGGACTAGACCAAAGCCTACCCGGAAAAGAAATCTATATAATATAAGGAAAAGCAATAGCATCGAATTTGAGAATATTGCTGAATTTTTTGGATTGTACGTCAACTCCCATGCTAATTTCTTTCGCAGCGCAGTTGACCTTTTCGTTAACAAGACTGATCGTGATGTGGTTATGATGCAAAATCCTTCTAATGCAAGAGATGATGAAAATTTGATCCCAATTTTGCACACAATGAAGATTAATGGCTTGGAAGACTTGGGCATTATCAATTTGGATGTTGGAGTAGTAGATCCTCCTGTCCCTGCAGAAAATGAGAAAGTCGTAGTATGCCTCTATGAAAGCCCTCACAGTGGAGGAGGAAAAAAGGTTGCTTTGGTGGTGAAAGATCATAGCACCGTTGTGGTTCCTTATCAAAAATCCGAAACTATGTGAGAGCCCATTTTTGGTGTGGCCAATGTTAAGGGTTCTATGGTTATGCATTGGAGGATTCCAGGACACCACTTGGGGTCTACTTTTAGGGGCCTTATTAGGTCTTTTAGTGTCCTGGATGGAAAATATCTCCTGCCGAATGTTGTAAATGGCCTCAGAGTAGTTAGGGGAGGAATCATCATAAAGGGTGCTGTTTCTCAGCTTCCAAAGGTTCCAAAGAATGACAATATAGGTTATAAAGGATTTATGATGGGTCCAATTAAGTATGTTGTCCATTAAGTTGCCATCCAACCGATGACTCTTAATATTAAAGTAACTCCAGATTGGAGTGTGAGATGGGCAACTCAAAAAGAAATGGTTAATAGAGTCATGGTGGTTGCAATGAGGACACTTAAAAGGCCCATAAAACCCCATTTTCTGGAGCGAGTCAGCACACACAATAAGATTGTTAGTGACCCGCCAAAGGAAGAAAGAAATCTTCTTTGGAATCGGGTTCTTCCACAAAAGATCAAGATTTTTGATCTTGGGCCTTTTCTTCCTTATCTCATCATAGGCCGTCTTAAAGGAGAAATCACCATTAGGGGCGCGGGTCCAGTGAGTAGTGTCAGGTGTCTCTTCAAAGGAAGGACTGTTGTTAATAAGGGCCGTGCTAACGTGGTGAGGTAAGTCACCGACATGACTGTGAATATTCTCATAGGCCTCTCTAATAGTGATGGGATCATGGGGCTCATGGGACAGTCTGTAGAGAGGCCCAAAAGGACTCCAATTGGAATCCCAGAAGAGGCTGCATCCGTTATTGACCTGAATTCTAGTGTTGGCACTATATAAATTATACACAGAGACCATAGGAGGCCAGAAAACAGAAAGATTATAAGAACGTAAGGAATTGAAAATAATAGCCCAAATGCTGTTTCCATGGTCTTTTTTCCACCAGAGTTTCAAATAGAAGCTGTCCTGGATGTCCTGCAACCTGCGAAAACCCAAACCGTTCTCATTAAAGGGGTATGAGCAGTTAGCCCAAGACCTCCAACTAAAAGTGCTTGAGGAGTTAAGATCATTTTGCCAAAGGAATTTAATGCAGCGTTTTTCAATGTCTTTAAGGACCCCTTTGGGGACCTTTGAGGAGGCCATAGTATAGAGGGGGAAGGTGGCCAGAACATGTTTGATCAATATTATTTTGCCGGCTTGGGAGAGAACTTTGTTCTTCCAGCTATTAAGGCGTTGATCAATCCTAATCACATGATGTGAGAAGTAGATTTTTTTAGCTCTTCCTAGATAGATGTTAACCCCCAGATACATGAAAGGGAAATTTCCTTTATTCATTTTAGAGACATGTTTAATCATATTAATAGTCCTAGCAGGGGTCTTGGGACCCGTAAAGAAAGAGCTTTTATCAGAATTAATTTTCTGACCAGACAACAGTTCATAATGGTTGAGAAGCTTAAAAAGTTTTTGCAAAGTATGTTTACTGCCATTAGAGAAAATTATCAAGTCATCAGCATAAGCTAAATGAGAGATAACAGGAAGACCAATGTGCGAGTAATAAGGTTTACCTCCACCGTGAGTGTAAAGATGGTTGAGATTCCTGGTGAGGACTTCAGAAACAATTATAAAGAGCATGGGAGAAAGCGGATCACCTTGTTTGACCCCGCGGGTGGGATTGAAGAAACCGTGAGGGACTCCATTTATAAGAATAGAAAACCAAGTCCCTTTTAAGTTGTTGAGGATAAGATTAATGAAAATAGGGTGAAAACCAATTTTTTCCAAAACAATCTTTAGAAAGCTCCAAGAAATGCGGTCAAAAGCTTTAGTCATGTCTATTTTGAAATACACATTGTGACCCGGAACTTTTTTAGAAAGACATTGGGTGAGTTCTTTCATAGCCAGTATGTTGTCGGATATTTCTTTCCCTTTTTGAAAGGCACTCTGGTTAGGGGAAATAATTTTGCCTAGAAGAGGGGTGAGCCTGATAGTAAGAATTTTGGTAAAGATTTTATTAATAAAATTACTTAGACTAATCGGTCTAAATTTTTGGAAAGTGTCAGGTTTAAAATCCTTAGGGATAAGGGTAATGAAAGTGTGACCTATACTTTTGGGAATGGGAACTCCGCAAAGGAACTCTCTGGTGGCATTTAAGAGGTCATGTTTGATAATATCAAAGCAATCATGGTAGAAACAACCATTAAACCCATCGGGACCAGAGGTGCTATTTTTATTAAGGTCAAACACAGCAGTTTTAAGATCAGTGAGGGTGATAGGACCAAGAAGGGACTGGTTGTCCTCCTCAGTAATACTAGTGGGAAGATGGTGAAGAATGGTGTTAAGGTCAGTTGTCTGGGGTGCCTTTTCCTGAGTAAAAAGAGGCCTAAAGAAGTCCACAGCAGCTTGGCCAATAAGGGATTGATCTTCTATCCATTGACCCTCAGAGTCTTTAATCTTATGAATGGAGAGTTTGGCATGTTTAGATTTGACATAATTGTGAAAGAATTTGGAGTTGGTGTCACCGTCTTTCAACCAGTGAACTCTGGCTTTTTGTTTTAGAAAAGTAAAGATGTCTTTTTGCTTAAGAATAAATTCAGCCTGAGCTTTTTTAAAAGCGTTTTGATTATCCAGATTATCTAAAGAAATAAGATTCATCTCTTTTAGGGAAAGATCTTCTTCAGCTTTAGTTAGGTTTTGAAAAATGTTGCCAAAAGTATTCTGGTTCCAGACCTTTAAAACCTTCTTAAGCCTTTTCAGTTTTTGAGAAAAAAGATACATGCCATATCCATCACAAGATTGAGACCAAGAGTCTTTAATAATTGAAGAATAATCTTTATGATAGGCCCACATATTCTGGTATCTAAAAGCTGTGGGGTGGGGGAGGGAAGTTTGAGGTTTAATTTGAAATAGGAGAGGAGTATGGTCTGAAGATATAAAGGACAGTTTAGTGCAAGTAATAATTTTACCACTTTGGAAGAGATGTTGGTTAATAAGGACCCTATCCAGTTTTTTAAAAACAATTCCACCAGAGCGCTTTCCCATCCAAGTGAAATTCCCCCCAACAAGAGGAACATCAAAGAGATCATTATTGTTAATAAAAGAATTGAAATCAAAAATGGAAGTGGGATTAGGGGTAGATTTACCTTTGTACTCAGCAATATCTCTTATCGTATTGAAATCACCCCCCAGAAACCAAGGGTGAT